TCACAATCTGACACCTGTCAATTAGGGAGTGCATAAGAAAAAAAAACGCAAGAACATTTGAAAAACAACGGAACTAGTTTGGCTAGGACTGTCAAGACATTGTTTTCTTCAAAAAAAGTCAATGTCTAACGGAAAGTATTATTCACTCTTATCGATGATTCATTCATGAACGAAGATTTATCTCTGTTCATTAAGTAAACGGCGGGGAAAAAAATGCGAGTAAATTCAATTTTTTTATTTTGAAGTTGTGAGAGTTGTTCGTTTGTTTGCTGCAATGGCGTGTGTAAATCTGGTCTTTCCTTCACGAAAACTAAATTCGAATGGTACACTCCAACGAAACAAACGGGGATTTAATGCGGCCTTTATTCATTAAATTCCTTCAGTTTCTATTGTGCAATTTACGGTACAAATGTCCAAATTGAACGGACTCGGAAAGACTCACCGTGAGAGCAAATTTGTTGTAGAACTTAAACTAAAACTTCGCTCGCTCTTTTACTATGAACAATTTGTTTGAGAAAATTCGGATATTAAATGAATAAAAGTTACATCGTTCAGTTTAACTGTAAACCAAATACTCCACGTTTTAACTTTCTATGTACTTTTTGTGAACGATCAAAATTAACTGCAGACAGTTTTTAGGCCGCTTGTCAACCAACGTAATTGACACTATTGCTTATACAAATTCATTCTGAAACCAATATTTTTCTGTCGACCAAAGTGATTTGATTTGCTACATTAGCGAACACTGAACTACTGCTCGTACTCTAAATATGACAATCAACCACAAAATTCCCTAAGCCAGATAACCTTAAACATAATCCAAAAACTGTAGACAACTATGGCAATCTGAGCTAGATCTCATCAATCTAGTTAACTGGCTTTTTTTTTGCGCTGTCCTGCCTTTCAGAATTGAGCCAGGAAATAAACTGAATTCAAACGATTGTGTCGAGCATACGTGTAAGTGCTAAACATGTTAAAGAGAACATGAGAGTATACTTTATCAGTAAACTGATAAAAGCGTTACAGCGTTTAAGAATATAAAATAAATTGAGTCATAACGTTCCAGCCTAATTTCTTAATACAAAATGGCTTTTTCTACCAAGTAAGCGTGTAAGGCAAAGATGATTCATCCCTGAAACTTGCTGAGGCAAAGTGTTCAAACTGTAAGCCAGTCATTTACCGCGGAAATCTATGATCTAACTACATTGTTAAATCCTCGACGTTTGCATACAACTGCTTGTCGTACATTGTCATGTTGATCAGCTTCTGCAGAAAAGAATAATATAATAATCAGCATCATTAAAAAAGTGTTCCTCTTAAGTTATAAGCGTTATCCTCACAAGTGGTCAGCTTTTCACACCAAAACAAATTCAATAAAGTATTTTATGGCGTCGTCGTCTGCTACTCTTTGCGCGTCTCAGTGCAGTTTTGCAATAATCCTACCATCTTTTAAATAACCATAATGAGTCAATTGTAGCAGGGGCATTCTAGTTCGCTTCTTCCCCGTTTTTCGTGGAGTGCTAGCTTCAGTGACATAACAAGAAGATGCAATCCAAACTTCGTAAAAATCACGCTATCTAAGCTAAACGCTAATATGTTTAAAACCCTAATTAGCTGAGCCTAAGCCAGTCGGTCAAACGTGAAAAGAAACTTTCATGTTGATCAAAATTCTCACCTTGTGTAGGGTTTCCATGTCCTTAAGCTGATTTTTCAATTCAGTAAAAGTTGGTCTTGCATCTGGGTCATTCTTCCAGCATTTCATCATAATCTGATACCTGGTATTGTTCAAATGATCTGTTAGAGATTTAAAGAACGCTTCCTTGTAGGGTGAGAGAGAACGAATTGAAAAAACACTTACAATTCTTCATCGACGTGTTGTGGTTTAGGCATCCTGTATCCATCCTGAAGTAAGTTTGCAATTTTTCTTCCATCCATTCGTGGGTAAGGTGAACCACCTGGAAGAACCATAAGACCATCGAAATATAAATGTGACGAAAAAACGACCTTCACTGAAACGCCACCCAGGTCATTTGATGTAGTTTGAAGCTCATTACGTTTGTCTAACTGAACACGTTAAATTGCTTAATTAAACATGGTATATAGCAAAAAACATAGACAGGGCCTTATAAATTTCCATTCGATGTTACCTATGGTGAAAATCTCGTACAGCAAAATTCCGTAACTCCATCTGCGGAAAGACAAATCAAACAAATATATATTGGGTGACTGAAGACATTAACATTATATACGACAATTAAAATACATGTACTCTTTGACAAAGCATAGAATTCATGCCCTAGTTAAAATTTATAACACTTAGAGAAAGATTTTTTTCGTCTTGTCACGAGTGTGGGACAAAGAAAAAATTTTGACTCCCAACGAGGAATTGAACCTTAGACCTTCGGATTCCGCGCTCCGATTCTTTCTCTTATTTTTATGTACAAACATGACTCTATATCGACATTGCTGATCCTTGCAGTATGCAGGACGCGTGTCATATGAACTTAGTAATAAACCTCACTCACTGAAGAGTCTCTGTGGCTCAGTGGTATGACCATCGGAGCGCGGAATCCGATGGTCTGAGGTTCGATTCCTCATGGGGAGTCAAGAATTTTTTCATTGTCCAACGCTCGTGAGAGGATGAAGAACATCTTTCTCTATTTCTTTACCGAGCCCAAAACTTACCCTCTCTCTTATTCTATTGGTGAAACTTGTTGGAAAATTGCTACGAGTAATAATCGGGTATACTTACACGTCACTTTTGGTGGTATATTTACCATACATCAAGGCCTCATAAGCTGTCCACTTCACGGGAAGACGGCCCTAAAGATTTCAAATATCACTTTGTGAAACAGCTAAAAAATTATAGGAAGCGACCGGTCAAAGACAGTAATATTTAAAATTATACTCGTATACGCAAGGCTAATATTTTCATTACGGTCCCGTCCAAGGATTTTGTCATCGAAATCAGGAGTACAATGATTGTCAAAGATCACTAAACTGAACGATATGTAGTACCGCCCCCACCTCCCCTCTTTCTTGAATACCTTAGTCTTTCGTTCATAAATATTTTCCTGCTGCACATCTCTTGCCATTCCGAAGTCTGTCACTTTACAAGTTTCCTTATGTCCAACCAACACATTACGAGCCGCAAGGTCTCGGTGAATGATCTAAGAAAGCATTGATCCGAGAGCAAAAATTAGCGATTCCAGAAGAAAAAGAACTGAAATTAAATGGTTCAGATAGGAAAATAGAAATATCCAGCGACATAATATGGTGTGTGTATTTCTCTTTATTCCAGATGGCAGAAAATTAAAATTACTATAATCGCTGTTCCATATTCCAAAGAGAAGCAAACCACTTTATTTCTGCAATTCATAATTATTACATAGAAAGCTTATCTGAAGATTTTATTCGAAGTAGGGTTCTGTAATGTAGCATTTTAGCAACCAAAGACGAATTTTTTAATTTCAAGTTTTGATTCCTTTTCTTTCTTGTCACTAAAATGAATATTCGTTGTACACTCAGTTTAGGCTGAATTAAAGATCCTATTCATTCACGTCTCTGCCTTTGCCTACACGAGAAAAACCCAGATATTTTATTTCGATGAGGTACACTTGCAACGATGCACAAATATCGCCATTCGCACACTGAAATATAACTTAGGCGATGACGTCAAAATTGGTAGGGTTCCTGGCCCTAAAGAAATAGCCTCAACAAGACGGTAAGAATACGTTTGCATATCCCGGGCGTGATCTTGTGAAGACGTATTTTCCTATGCAAGACATAGCTTAACATGACGATACATCTTACAAGAAGGTTTTAGAATTGTTTTTCTTTGGTGCCTTTTTAATTAACTTACAGATTTTGAGGACAAATAACTCATTCCATCAGCAATTTGCCAAGCAAACTTCATCAGCTGCTGTGACGTCAGATTTGTTTGTGGTTTGACTTCCGGGTCTTGGAAGTAAGTGTCTTTTAATCCACGGCTCTTTCTCAGGTAACCCAGCAGATCCCCAAAAGGCACATATTCAATCAAAACCAGCAGCTGTTCTGAGGAAATTAAACAGTTTCATTTAGATATTTTCTCTCTAAAAAAATTAGCAATAAAAAAAAATAAATAGCAGTCAGGGTCAATACATTTGAAGAAATCGCACGAAAACAAGATGTAGTTTTACGATGAAAAGCTGGAAAACTTTGTAACGATCTCATAAGAAGGTACAGATCAAATATTCCCTTAGAAAAAGCGATTCTGCTTATACAACAGGATGGCTTGTACAATGGCAAATATTTGGTCTTCGTCTATCAGCAAATCCAAGAGCGTCGCTGTTAGCTAAAAAAGGATAAAATTACCATATGCGTTGTTTGTTGTGCGCAATTGTGAAGCAGTGAATCTTCCACTGAAGCAAATTATCAATGACGAGAAGGCATTACAGAGTAAATCAGATGCAAAATGTGTACAGCAAAATTAGACCCCATAATCAAAGCTTACCAGATTCTGTAACGCATCCCAGAAGTTTAATGACGTAAGGATGTGGTTTCAGCTGCTTCATTGTGTCAAGTTCTTTCATCAAATCTCTCTTGTCCGATTCAGTAGCGTTTTCTGGAGCGTTAAAACAAGGAGTAAAATTTGGTTTACGGGAATAATATGCAAAATGTTGAAATAGCGACATAACTTATCCAATCACAAATAGCTAAAAAGTTACGGTAACCCGGTAACAGTATATGACTGTAGGCCAAGACTCTCATTCAATTTACAGTTCAAGAACTCACTTTTAAGCATCTTAATAGCCACTGTGGTCGTTTCAGGACTCCCTCGAAGTCCTACTGCTGTTCCCTTGGCAACCTGACCAAAAGCACCTTTACCAATAATTTTTTCTATGGTCACGTGGTGTCTTGAAACTTCCCAGCAGCGTGTTAACGGATGAAGAGGCACGTAATCAGCACCTGAAGCAGTACTTTGTGCTTTTCTATCATGTTTGTTGACTTCTATGAGATCCATGTATTCCGCAGGAGGCTGAGTGAGTTTTGCTGAATCGGGTAGACTTGGTTCGCTATCTTCTAATCCTGTTTCATTCTATTAAACCAACATACCGTTAAGGTATTCATATACAAGTCTGTTATTAATCCCAATAAAATTTCCTACATTTTTATAAAAATCAGTTTACCCGTTTTCATCAGACAAGCGTTTATATTATTTCATAACAAGAGATTATTAGTAGTTTATAATCTCTTGTCCTTAAATATTACTAATATTTATTAGTACTAACACTTTGTTCTCTGCCATTGAAACTACCATGTCCAATGCAGTGATCGAGGTTCATAGCATATTCGTTACAGCTACAAACTGCAACATGAAGATCGTCGATTGGTAGTGCAATTGTTTGACAAATGCACACACGAAAAAAAAACTCTTGCTGTACTAAGCTCCTGGACTAACGCTTTGAAAATAAGGCATCAAGATAAACAGACGGCCAAAACGGCGTGAAAAAAAAAATATTTACAAAACAAATATCAACCGGGTGCAGACCAGTTAGCGATCTATGAAGTGAAACCACGCAGTTGAACCAGGGACAACCGAAGGAAAATCGATGGAGCAGCTTGGTAAAGGACATGATCCCAGGACAAAGACCTTATCGAGTCAAACTTCTTCCTATATTCTATTGTACCTGTTATTAATGCATTATGCCTTTTTGGTAGAACTACACCTTTTTTCCTTCCTATTTGTTACAAGCGTTTATTTCCTTCTAGAGAGTAGAGGTTAAGTGAGATTACATAATTACAGGCCACACTAACATGACCTCAATGTCTTAGCTGTAACTTACGTAGGAAACACCTCTTTCATCTTCATAAATCCTACAATTGAGAAAGCATACAAATATTTATGACGAGCTGAGAATCTCATCAGTTTTAAATGGAAGTTTGTTATAAGATGATACCATATCTGTTACATTACATCGACACACTCCAAGTGGCAGCAAATTCTTACCTCTGCTTCCCCACAGCGCCTGGAAAAGAACGAAAGGAAAAAAAAGGCAAATGATGTGAATGTGGGTCAAGATTTCCTTTTGCTTAATAATGAATCTTGCAGCCAAACCCTCTATCATAGATTATGAATTTTTTACCTACCTTTCTTATGTAGCCAGATTATGTAAATAATTAGAAGAACGATTATGAAGGCAAGAACCCCATTTATGGCTAACGAGACGTTGTTAGATGGGCAGGTACATTCCTCAGGACCTAAAATGATTCATTTTACAAAGCTTGATCAGGTAACATTCAAACAACATTTACAGTGATCGCGGTCAGTACACTGCTCTCACTACATAGCTTATGCTCTAGAACGAAAACCGTTAACTCGAATTGGCTAGGTACTAAGGAAAAGCAAGGTGCTACTCTCTCTATAATAATTTTTAAAAGTAAGATTTTTTTTAATTTAATAGAAACAACAAAAGAGACGAAAACAAAACTTGGAAATATATGACTCACAGAATTGACTTGTTTAATTAAACAGATACGGAATACAATTAAAAATGTCCATCTTCGGACGAATACGTGTAAACATTTAGCAATTATATTTCTTTGTAAAACATACTTTTTGTTGTGCTTTCCGAGCCGTCTGTGGTTATAAAAACCTGTTTAATTGATTCTGGATCGACTTTGAAACCTCCGAATTTCTCTTGCCTTGCAGCATCCAACAGGACAGTCAAAACATCGCTGACGACTACACTTCGATTGAACCTCATCATGAAGTCGAGAACAACACTGCCACACCTAAGTAGGGGGGGAAGGATGTAAAATGCCGAATCGAACACCGTGCCGAAAAGAGTAAGACTCATAAGTTATGACTGATTATACAGTCGGTATTAAACAAAAAGAAATCGTGGGAAGAGTTCATTTAGGTTTGCAAGTAGTTTCTTCATCCGCTTTTACACTCTTCACCTATTCAAACATTTGTCAACTTTGGAAATATTATTGCATTACCTTTTCCTAATATTTGTTGCTCTTTACAGCACGGTGCCCTATTCGGCATTCTATTTGTAATTTGGTGACTTTTAAGTGTTAAAATACGTTGATATTTGACCAAAAGAGCGTTTTTGATGTAATAAACCAAGGTTTGTTGTTTCAGTGTTGAGACAAACTGCACCTTACCTCGTGTTCACGGTGTTGGCGGATGAGCAGCCAAACTTAAAGGCAATTTGACAAGCCTGGAAGGACATTTAAAGAGAAAATGTAACTTCGAATACTTGTTTCATAATTGAAGATCGTTCAAAATGTCATTTTGTTTTACCAAAAATATTGAGATTTCGTTCAAGAGCACATTTATTAAGACTCCCTTTTAATGATAAATGTTATGGCAGAATTCTATACACTCCGGTATAAGGATCAAGTAGATTATCTAACCATTTCTGGAAATTTCGCAGCAACTTCTGAACGTGTGCTACAGTTCCCCTGTATCGTCGCCGTCAGGTAAACATCTGTGCTTTCTGAAGCTAAAGAAAAGCCGTGTCCTTTTACATTTACCAAAAACATGAAGAGCCTTGATTCACAAAAACTGCTGAGAAGTGGTTCCATCTAACAATAATTCAGTTTGAACATTGTCCAATAATTCCAGCAGAGATCGTTCTGACAGAGTGTGCCACTAAGCTTGAGAGTAAACTTATGTTTTAGTGCACGCAATAGCATAAACATGTTACGATTAGCCTTCATCACAATGTTTTAATATTTGATACAGAAACTTGTAACATGTGTATGTAGGCCCTCAGAGGGATTGAATTATATTTTTTTGAACGAATACTGTGGTTCATTCCCCCCCCCACCCCACTTGAAAAATAGTTTTGCGGAGCCACATGAATTAAGTTACTTGTGTTTGAGGATGGCCAGCGTAATATGCCTCAAAATATTCATTAACCCACACCTAGAATGAGTCTTTAGAGAAATAAAAAGAATGCTTTTATACATCTATAATTATGCTTATTCTTAATTCTTCAATTGTAGAAGGTATAGCCTTCATAATCATAAATATCTTTTGAGTCGCTGCATGACACCTGACGAGATTCACATAATCGTATAAGTTTGTGTTAGGTGAAAGGTTATTACGGAAAAGTAACAACTTTGCAAACAAATTTTCCAATTTTGATATAGAATTAGCAGTCTGTGTTATGACTGTTTGTGAGCCTACAGTCCTTCGCTAAGTTCCAGACTTTTAGTGACAGTAATTCACTCTTTGCCTTTTACTCAAATTCATTTCGTTACAGCAAAGAACATGCTATTATGATGACATAGTTTTACGTGGAGGTTAAAGAAACGCCTATAAAAAAACGTTAATTACCTGCAGGAGTTGTTTGGGATGAAGTGGCAACTGTACTTGAAATTGTTTGAACTGGGAAAAAAATAAAATACGACTCAAAATGATCGACAAGAAATTTTAAATTTAATTAATCATCATACCAATCTCAAACCACTTGATAATAATAATACGTTCGCTGAAATATTGTTTTTCACGGAGGTTCTGGGTATGATAGACTACACTTCCTAAAACTGTTATTGTTATTAATATCATTGTCACCAACATTATTATCATTGATATTTTTATAATTATTATCATGATTGTAATTATTATCATTGTCAACATTATCACTAAAAAGGAGCAAAAATGGCAAAGAACTACAGAGAGGGCTAAGTTTGAAATAAAGGTCAAGTGACAAAGAGTCAAGTGTTTATATCTTAATATTATATATATTAATAATTAACTCTTTGTAATTTCAAGATGAAGCCTAATGGTTTCTTCTAATATCGAAAAAAGTGCTTTTCCAAGTAAAATGGGAAAGGTTTTGGAGCGCCAGGTTCGCCACAAAATGAATGCACAGCTTATCTGTTCGCCTGATGGACGATGTAGATGTAAAGATGTGTAGATGTGTAGTTGTGTACATGTGATATGACAACAAGACTAACGACAGAGCTACATGGAAAAGAAACGAACTTACAATTTGTGGCGTAACCAGGTCTGATAGTAAAACTCTTAAACAAAAGTAACACGGCGCTAGCAAAAACTAACGAGACGACTGACTTATTTGAAATCAACTAGTAATGAGAAGTATATAACGAAACAAAGCTTTTACTGGCGAGAAATAAAGTGCCACCAGCATTGTGTAATTCTTACACAACCTCCTACAAAAACGCGCGCTCAATTAAATCAAAACAGAACATCACAATAGTAGTTCAATTGAAAGAAAAACGATACAAAATATTTTCGCAGTTACTTGACAATCGACAGAAATGCAAATTCTAGTTGCTACATTCCAGCCCCTCAAGTTTACTTTAAGTATTGGGCGACTACTTCACTTGATGTTCTTCTAGTGTAGGATAACTTCTATCTTCTGCTGATTCCAGTCGTTTAGGGCTTCACGGATTTCTCTCTCTCCGCTACTTAAGTTCATACCATTGTTACCTTTTATCATCTTTGGCTTCTCTCTTCTGATGATGAATCTGCAAAGAGCACAGATAAACGAATCTGTGTCGAGAGACTCGGTCACTTCAATGTGGATTGCTCGTATAGTTAAGAGAAAAGACACCATAACTTTTAACTGTACTTCTGCCTTGCCTCACGTAAAGTGGCCATAGAAATCTATGCCAACGTTAGAAAACGGGGTTTATCTGGAACAAGCCTGTTGCCAGGTAAATCTAACATCAATTGCAGCATTTTGTCTTGGCATATCAAACAGTAACTGAGTACTCTTCAAAGAGCAGCCCGTCCCTTGAAGATCCAGTACTTTTGTCTCAAGCTGGTCATGACATATTCTTAACCTAGATGACCCACAGACTCACGAACATCCGTAATGAGCAGCTTGGTAACATGGTGCTCTGAAGGTAACAGCAATGGATGTTTCGATTGGTAATCCGATGAAGAATTTTGAAGCCGACCACCAACTCTCGATATTCCTGTTCCGTCCAGAAATAGTCTCAATTTGTACACTGAACCAAATGAGCCAATAATCTTCAATTTACGTTTCTCAGATTCTTCTAGGCTCAAGTCTGGGAGGGCTTTAACCACTGGCGAGAAAGCTAATTTTAACACGTATGTGATGATTTGAGCCTCTGCATATCGTAATTCGTCTATCGACAGCCTTCCACAAGGTAATGGATCAACAGGGTCCTCTTCTAAGCACCTCTTACTCTTAAAGAATTTTCCTTAAATCTTAGACGCCAAGCAACTCTATTCTTAAGCTCAAACCATGACGAATATTGCAGAACCATTAGGTTCAGTGGTCGTTTATCCTCCATGAGAGTAATATGGTCTGTTCGAGTTTGACCTCTGACTGCTGGGTCTTACTCAGAAATACTGACTGAGGAGACTGGATGGGTGGGCTACGATGTCTCACTTTCTCACAAAAACTTAGGGCCTCTGAACCAAACTTCCTTCTCTAATAACTCCTTTACCGATAGTTCTCGGCTGGCATCGTCAGCTGGGTTGATGCTTGTTGGCACATAGTTCTACTGGGAAGGTTCTGAGCCATCATGTATCACTGCCAGGTAATTGGCCACAAACATGTAGAATCGTTTGTCTCTTTGCCCCTGATATATTGGAGGACAGCTGTGGAGTCTGACCAAATAACTGTCTTGTCAACTTTTGACTGAAATTCTTGTAACGTATTATTCATTCTGACAGCTAAAACAGCGGCTGAAAATTCCAATCTGGGTATAGTCATCTGTTTCACGTGAGCTACGCGAGATTTTCCGGCGAGGAAACTGCAGTGGGTACGGCCATTTTCATTGACGAGTATTGCATATGACACAGTCCCATAAGCAATCTGAGGGGCATCTGCAAAGTGGTGAAGCTCTGCATTTTTTACCCGGCCATAGTCGATCGCTTTTCAAACCTATTGGTAAGGAAACACTTGAAAGCATAGGTAAATTAGATAGCCATGATCTCTAAAACTGAAATTTCTCTCCCATTTTCTCTTCATCCGAGGTGAGTCCTTGTTTGCAGAGATCTTGAAGGAGCTTTGTAGCTAGTAAGGTGATTGGTGATACTATGTCAATTGGATAATAAATGGAGCTAGTCACTGATAGAATACTCTTCGTGTGAAGGACATCTTTTGGTATCATCTTGAAGGTAAACATGTTGCTTTCCATGTTACACTGAACACCAAGGGGTTATTTCGATACGAAGTACACCAGAATTTAAATCCAAATCCAAAATTGACGAAGCTCTGTCTGAGGTTGGAATGGTTTTGAGGACCTGCCTCCTGTCACACAATCATTTAGTCAATCGAAATCCACCTCTTGACAATAGGACACACTAGGACACACAAATCTCTCAATTTACTGCACCGCTTTCGAACAGTCATCCCCATAAAATTTCTTCAATACTGTGTCGATCACTTCATTGTCAAAGTCTCCTGCATTGTCTTGAGCCGTCTTTCTTGTGGACCAAAATTGTCCCGACTTTGTGAAGAAGTGCTACCAAAAAAGTGTACTCAACAGGCTCCTTAGATAAGTTATCGTCAGGCCACTAGGGGAACTTTAAGGTATCAACATCATGTGGATCAAACATTACTGGGTGGAACATGGCTTCAATGTCTGACGAGAGAGATACTAGTTCCTGACAAAATCTTAAGAGGACACCAAGCAAGCTGTTAGTCAAGTCTGGACCACGATTTCCCTTTGTATTGGACCGTGCAGTCAAACACCACTTACAGTTTCCTAAGCTTATTAGGATTGAAGGCAGCATATAATTGACTGGTGATACTTTAACTAGAGGTTGCTAATTGTGGTATTTTTTAATTTTGGTTCATTTTCGCAAACCAATATTTTAATTCATTTCCATAACATATCAGTTCAACTGATACTGACATCATACACTACATCAAAAGAAAACTTTCCCTATCCTTGAAAATCTGTTCAAAACATCAGGAACATCAACAAAAGTCTTCATCAGCTTGAGAATACTGCTAACTAGCACATGTGTTGATCGCCACGCACAACACGTCAACCTCATCACCAGGGTCTCTATTCCTTCCTGTTCGGGGTTGTAATGGTTCACAGTGGGAAGTTTTATTGACGCAATGTAAACTGGTATAAAACATTTTTCCCGTTTTAAATTATAATTCCAAAGTACTTAAAAATGCTCAAAGATGTTTCTACTCACCCTTTATTTTAAGTCTCACAGAGGCTTTTGCTCCATCTCCAACGTCATTATGTGGGATACATTTGTACTCGCCATAGTGCTGAGATCGATTGACGTTATTGACAGTATACTCACTATTGCTGTTCTCGCTTAGGAGGCTGCCATTGAAATAGAACTTGTAAATTGACACTTGTGGCACAGCAGCCGTAACTATGCATTTGAATGAAACAGTATCTCCTTCAGCGACGGTATTTTGGGCAGCACTGGTAGTGAGCCTCACACCTTCAGGTTTGTCTAAAAATTTAAATCAAATCATCTCAGATATTTCATCGCTCATACATTTCGCCTGTCTAGAAGGTGCATAATGTAT